ACCATAGCCAATGAGGTTTATCCAAGCCAATTATTGTTATTGAAAACTTTCCCAATACCCTACCATCGACAACTTACAATATAGTCACTGGCAATTTGACGGTCCTATGGAGACTGAATTTAAAAACAACAACAACAGAGAACTCTATGTCAAGTGGAAAAGGATTTCTACTACTAAACAGGTGTTCTAAATGAGATAATGACTTTTCCTTCATCTGTAATGCCTAAAAAGAAAAAAAAAAAAAAATGATATGACTTTCTTCTTTGTGAATCACAGTCATGTGATCATAGCTGATTTGTAAATTCTGTAAGTAAATAATCTTAATGCTTTGGAAAATACTTAAAATAACTTGTCTCCTTTTTTTTTTTTTTTTTTTTTGAGACAGAGTCTCACTTTGTTGCCCAGGCTAGAGTGAGTGCCGTGGCGTCAGCCTAGCTCACAGCAACCTCAAACTCCTGGGCTCAAGCAATCTGCTGCCTCAGCCTCCGAGTAGCTGGGATAACAGCATGCGCCACCATGCCCGGATAATTTTCTTTTATATATATATATAGTTGCCAATTAATTTCTTTCTATTATAGTAGAGATGGTATCGCTAATTTTTTTTCCTATATATTTTTAGTTGGCCAATTAATTCCTTTCTATTTTTAATAGAGACGGGGTCTCACTCTTGCTCAGGCTGGTTTCAAACTCCTGACCTTGAGAGATCCTCCCGCCTCGGTGTCCTAGAGTGCCAGGATTACAGGCGTGAGCCATCATGCCCGGACAAATATTAGTTTTAAAAGATGAACCTGAGTCCATGACTTGAAATTCTGTTAGGGAAGATGGATAAGAACATCTGGAAATATCCAAAGGAACAAGATTTACATTTTAACTGAATTTTAAAACTTTTTTTTTTTTTTTGAGACAGTTGCTCTATAGCCCCAGCTAGAGTGCAGTGTCTTCATAGCTCACTACAATCTCAAACTCCTAGGCTCAAGCAATTCTCCTACCCAACCTCCTGAGTAGCTGCAACTACAGGTATGTGCCACCAAGCCTGGCTAATTTTTCTATTTTTTGTAGAGATAGGGTCTTGCTCTTGCTCAGGCTGGTCTCAAACTCCTGACATCAAGCAATCCTCCTGCCCTGGCCTCCCAGAGTGCTAGGATTACAGGCATAAGCCACCATGCCTGCCAATGTTTTTACTTTTAACAATTTTTATTTCTCAATTATTGTAAATAGAAAGAGAAAAGCAAGATATGCCAGGGGTTACACCGGAGACTCTGAAATAATCCCAGATCAGAGAAACATAAATGAAGGATGTAATTAAGAGCAGATAACTAAAGATGAATAAAAGAAGTACCAAGCATCCAAGAATAGTTCCAGGAAGGCCAAAATGAGCTTAGCCTTGCAGAAGAGAAAATGCAAAGAAAAACCAAGAAAGAGTTTCTTTGTCAGCATGTGGAGAAAGTCCACCAAGCACTGGATGTATTGCTGACGTAATAGTGGGCAATAGAGGACAAAAAGTATAACTCTTCAACTCCTGTTTTGTTTCTGTCTTCTCTATCAGTTGATGTCTATAGGAATGAAGAAGGGAGATCAAACACTAGTAAAGTGGGAAATGATATCCCAAATGTATGAAGAGACTTTACAATGTTTCTGTATTTTATATGAGTTTATATTTTCTAATGTAGGTAAATTAAATCCCAGGAAGATGAGAGCACTTGTGAGATGGCTGAAAGGTATGATTTAAAGATTTTAGAAATAAGCAGTGTTGGAGACTAGATAGCTAAATGTCATCTTACTTTTCTTTAAAAGGAAAAGAAAGTACACTTTGCCAACAGATTGAAGGCAGCACAGTGCTATGGAAAAAGTCAGGGCTTTGGAATCAAACAGCTGAAATCCTGGCTTTGTCAGTCACTTTGTGCCCTTGAACAACTAACTTTTCTCTGGGCTTTCATTTCCTCTGCTGAAAAATACAGGATAAAAAATCTGCCTCATAAACTAATTGGGAGGAAATGAGGAAGAATATACCAAATACTTAGTATACTAATACCAAGTATTCCATAAATAAATTCTTCTTCCTCTGGTGAGCCTGACTTGTATCCCAGATGAGATTCCAGAGTAAGTAAAAAAAATGTCTTAAGCCCCAAAGACCCAGTGTGGTTTCACGAGAAGTAACATCAGACTCAACTCACATCTTTCTGACATAAGTTAACTATATACCTGGGTAGGCAAAAGTCAGGTCGGTCTGGATTATGGATTTGGGTGATACGACCTTTCCTTTCCTGCACTTCCCACCTTCCCTCCTCCTCCACTTAAGTCAATTTGTAGCTTCAGATTTATGTGGGGACTAAAAATTTTTGTGCGGAAAAGATTCATTTGGCATTTATGATGTAAGACATTCTGACTAAAATAAACTTATTTAGTGTGCTTGGGGCAGAGACGGTATATGAGGAAGGAACTGAAGCCAAATTACAAGGAATGGCATTGACGTTTCTGAAAAATATTCATCCCACAGGAGGAAACAGAATCAACTAGCTTTACCAACAGAGACTGGGGGAAATGAGAGGCATGGTGATGATTTGATCCCACCTGGTAGGATGTGACAGCACTGAGGAAAGGCTCAGGGTAAAACTAAAAGAGCTGTTCTGGTTAGATGTTATGTTAAAGGCAGTGATATTTACCAGGATATGCAGAAAGTTATATAAAGTGTTGGTCAAAATTTTTCCTTGTGTAACCCCTGAACAAATTCTAAAAAACAATGTATCCTTCACATATTTTTAGGCTGACAGTTCAAATTTTCACTCTAAATTAAAATAGCTGCATAGAATGTATTAATAATTTCTGGCTTACTGTACATAGTGACACTTTAAAATAGAGCTATTACACCATTCTTTAATCTATTCAGTAGACTCTAAGTAGCATTGCAATTTTATATCCATTACCATCATTTAAAAAAAATAAATGAACAAATGCTTCTATTAACAATTGGAAATTTTATATTCATATTTTTCCTTGAACTCTTATTTCCTTTCAATATCTCCCACAATAATTATGCCCTAATGTAATAAATTTTACTATAATTGTGCACATCAAAAATAAGTACATATAAATTCTTTCATTTCCTGTGACTGTATATATAAGTCTCCAAAAATTATTCTATTTTATAATTATTAGTATAAAATTGATATATATATTACACTCTTTATTAAAATACTAACATAAGAAAATTTTATTGGAAAAGGCATTTCTTTTTTTTTGTTTGAGACGGAGTCTCACTCTGTTGCCCGGGCTAGAGTGCCGTGGTATCAGTCTAGCTCACAACAACCTCAAACTCCTGGGCTCAAGTGATCCTCCTGCCTCAGCCTCTGGAGTAGCTGGGACTACAGGCATGTGCCACCATGCCCGGCTGATTTCTTTCTATTTTTAGTAGAGATGGCGTCTCGCTCCTGCTCAGGCTGGTCTCAAACTCCTGATCTCAAGCAATCCTCTGCCTTGGCCTCAGCCTCCCAGAGTAACCAGGATTACAGGCATGAGCCACCACGCCCAGACTAGGACTAATTCTTACATGATGAAATTTAAAATAGACAAGTAAGTGACAACTGTAGAGCAAAATTCCTTCCAATGCCACATACTTCTCTGTGTCAAGGAAACAACAGCACCAATAAAGAGTGGAGGAGGCACAGCTCAGCAGCAGCACGAGTGAAAGACACAGGGTTTTAGCTGACAGAAAGCTCAATGTTCCAAGAGTATGGTGTGACTGCCAAACATCCACCATGAGGAAAAGGGAAAGGGGTTACTTATTCTCTGATTTTTTCCTGGTCAGACCACACTCAGTTCTGCACATTACACTGAGAAGCTGGAGAGTGACTAGCTCTAAAGCTGGCCCTGCAAGGAGCAGCTGAGGTCATCGTGAAATACTGTTTCCATAGGGCAAAGATTCGAGGTTATGGGGAGGAAGGTAGGATGGAGCTAACTTCCTCCACGTACTAACAGGCACCCATCTGGAAAAGGGGTTAGTTCTGCTCTCTATTGTCCAAAGAGAAGAAAGATATGCAATTATTTGCAGAGAGGTTGAAACTTACAACCTTTAAGATTTCTATCAATTCTGAGAATTTCCGAATAATATTAATAATTTTTTAACATAGCTGAGACTTAAATTATGTACAAACAATTCTATTTGGATCTATTTTTCAAAAACATTAGAAGGATCTCCTGGAGTAAAATTACTATACAGGATTTTCATGAGATCAGATTTGTAACCGAGAGCAATCAGGATGTTCATAAACCATTACTGATCCTCTGATTTCTTTGCCACTGCTCTCAAAGTAACTCTACTGACTTCTCCTTACAAAGAATTAACATTTCTAGGTTGCTTCAGAGTGATACATCATCTTAAAGTCATTTCAGTAAATTTTATAATCTACAAATAAGTGACAATATCATTTTTTATACTAATAACAATTTAGGATGATTTAAAACATTTTTTAACGCAAAATAATCTGGGCCGGGCATGGTAGCTCACGTCTGTAATCCTAGCACTCAGAGAGGAAGAGGCAGGAGGATCACTTGAGGTCAGGAGTTTGAGACCAGCCTTAGCAAGAGTGAAACCCCCCTCTACTAAGAATAGAAAGAAATTATCCAGGCAACTAAAATAGAAAAAATTAGCTGGGCATGGTGGCACATGCCTGTAGTCCCAGATACCCGGGAGGCTAAGGCAAGAGGATGGCTTGAGCCCAGGAGTTTTAGGTTGCTGTGAGCAAGGCTGATGCCACTGCACTGTAGCCCGAGCAACAGAGAGAGACTCTGTCTCAGAAATAAAATAAAAATAAAAAAAATAAAATAATCCGGAACTTCAACTACCACAGTCATACCTGAAGTAAGAGCTCAGCTTCCTCTCACACATTTGTTTACATGAACATATAGCAATGTGTAGATCGAGCACATTTCTCTTGGAGAAATCAATGCTCTCCATATGGCCCCTCCCTTCTTTACCTCCTGGGTCTGAAATTAGATCTTACCTTGCACTGAAAATCAGATCCTTCATATTTCATACACCCTGAAGCTAATGTGGTTTCTCCCTGGTCATCTTCTTCTATGATGGCAAAACAATGTCCATTAGTTCTAAAAGAGAAAAAAAACCATAACTTTACATCAGAGAGTACTAATGAAATTTGAGTTTCAATGTAAACAGGTACTGATGGCCTTTAGTATCTTGGTTTTTGAATTAGAAATGCATTCACATGTAATGTATTGGCAAAGCCAAATAGGTTTTAAGGCTGATGAAAGCTATGCCTGAACTAAGATTTAAAAGGCCAATGAGAACTCTATGTCAGCTTTGCGCAGTGGCGGTACCATAGCCAATGAGGTTTATTCAAGGCACAATTATTGTTAATTGAAAACTTTTCCCAATACCCTACCATGACAACTTACAATATAGTCAGCATTGGCAATTTTGACGGTCCCTATGGAGACTGAATTTAAAACAACAACAACAGAGAACTCTATGTCAAGTGGAAAAGGATTTCTACTAAACAGGTGTTCTAAATGAGATATGACTTTTCCCTTCATCTTGTAATTGCCTAAAAAGAAAAAAAAAAAAAAAAAGATATGACTTTTCTTTGTGAATCACAGTCATGTGATCATAGCTGATTTGTAAAATTCTGTAAGTAAATAATCTTAATGCTTTGGAAAAATACTTAAAAATAACTTTGTCTCCTTTTTTTTTTTTTTTTTGAGACAGAGTCTCACTTTGTTGCCCAGGCTAGAGTGAGTGCCGTGGCGTCAGCCTAGCTCACAGCAACCTCAAACTCCTGGGCTCAAGCAATCCTGCTGCCTCAGCCTCCCGAGTAGCTGGGACTACAGGCATGCGCCACCATGCCCGGATAATTTCCTTTTATATATATATATTAGTTGGCCAATTAATTTCTTTCTATTTATAGTAGAGATGGTATCTCGCTCTTGCTCAGGCTGGTCTCGAACTCCTGAGCTCAAATGATCCTCCCACTCTGGCCTCCCAGAGGCTAGATTATAGGCGTGAGCCACCATGCCTGGCTAACTTTGTCTCTTTTACCGTAATATTTCAGTATTCATATACTGAACATGATAATAGATAAAATAAACTTTTCTGTGAAACATACAAACAGACTCAAAAGACAAAAAGTATATTGGGAAGAAAAGTTCAAAATTCTGAAAGGCACTTTTTTTTTTTTTTTGAGACAAGTCTCGCTTGTTGCCCAGGCTGAGTGAGTGCCGTGGTCATGCTCACAGCAACCTCAACTCCTGGGCGAGTGATCCTTCTGCCTCAGCCTCCCGGGTAGCTGGGACTACAGGCATGCGCCACCATGCCGGCTAATTTTTATTTATATATCAGTTGGCAATTAATCTTTCTTATTATAGTAGAGACGGGTCTCGCTCTTGCTCAGGCTGGTTTCGACTCCTGACCTAGAGCAATCCGCCGCCTCGCCTCCCAAGAGCTAGGATTACAGGCGTGAGCCACAGCGCCGGCCTGAAAGGCACTTTTTACAAATGTGTTAGGAAAAGAGGGAGAACTTCTGAATGTTGAATTTTTAATATTTAAAACATATTTGTTTTAATTAATTTATCATTTTAGCATTAGTATTCTGTGAAAATTTAGGATATGTTCCTTTCGACTTTAATAGGTATGGAAGAAACTTCTTCTTCTTTCTTTTTTTTGAGACAGAGTCTTGCTTTGTTGCCCAGGCTAGAGTGCGTGCTGTGGCGTCAGCCTAGCTCACAGCAACCTCAAACTCCTGGGCTCAAGCGATCCTGCTGCCTCAGCCTCCCGAGTAGCTGGGACTACAGGCATGCGCCACCATGCCAGGCTAATTTTCTATATATAGTGTTGGCCATTAATTTATTTCTATTTATAGTAGAGACGGGTCTCTCTCTTGCTCAGGCTGGTTTGGAACTCCTGAACTAAAGCAATCCGCCTGCCTTGGCCTCCCAGAGTGCTAGGATTACAGGCATGAGCCATCTCGCCTGGCTGGAAGAAACTTCTAAAAGCTTTTTCTGTGCTACTTATTATTAGTATCAGTGAGTATATTGCTTCTACTTAAAAGAATTTTGCAGAATTTTTCATTATCTACCCCCCTTTTTTTTTGTAAGATAAGGTCTCATTATGTTGCCCAGGCTAGTCTAATACATGGTGAACTATCACACAATCTCAAGATTTTCCTTGTAAAGTTTTATGCTTTATATCTTTCTCATTCAAACATCATACAATTATTATAAAAGTATAAAACATGACATTCATTATTACGTTATTAACAGGGAGACAATTAATGAGTTGTTCAGGGAATTCTGTTTTTTGTCTAGTAAGTCAATTTCCACAATGTCCCCAAGGAATATGGAACAGAATTATATGATCATATGTAAACATTCTGAGTAATTAACACAAAATTTAGTAGGAAAATTAAGATAGTTATATAAATCAGATTTGGACTGGAGTTCATAGGTAATAAAATAATACAAAATTATCACATCATTCTCATATATCCACAAAATATTTCAACCAATTAAAAAGTAGGAAGTCTGTAATCCTAACGCTCTGTGAGGCCAGGGCAGGAGGATCACTTGAGGTCAGGAGTTCCATACCAGACTGAGCAAGAGTGAGACCCCATCTCTACTAAAAAGAGAAAAAATTAGCGAGGCATGGTGGTGCGTGCCCGTAGTCCCAGCTACGTGGGAGGCTGAGGCAGGAGGATGGCTTGAGCCCAGGAGTTTGAGGTTGCTGTGAGCTAGGCTGACACCATGGCACTCTAGCTTGGGCAATGGTTTGAGACTCTGTTTCAAAAAAACACACAAAAGTAGGAAGTTGTGGGTAAATTTTTTGGTTTCTTCTTAGTAATCTTTAAGTTTTCCACAACAACCATAAATAATTTTATGATAAAAAGATCAGCAATTAAACTCAAATAAAACTAGATTCCTTTTATCTTTTTTAAAAAGCTATAACTCTAATAAAGTAACTATCATTTAATGGTAATATTATTCCTATATAGAAAATAAGCTTTTTAGCTCTTTGGGAACATGCCATAACAACAACAAAAAAACTCAAATAATCTTAATTCTTTTTTTTTTCAAGAAAGAAAGTCTGGAAGAGTCTCGCTTGTTGCCAGGCTATAGTGATGCCGTGCGTCAGCCTAGCTTCACAGCAACCTCAAACTCCTGGCTCAAGTATCCTCTGCTCAGCCTCCCGAGTAGCTGGGACTACAGGCATGTGCCACATGCCCGGCTAATATATATATATATATATATATTGGCATTAATTTCTTTCTAATTTATTAGACGACGAGGTCTCGCTCTTGCTCAGGCTGGTTTCGAACTCCTGACCTCGAGCAATCCGCCCGCCTCGGCCTCCCAGAGTGCTAGGATTACAGGTGTGAGCTACCGCGCCTGGCAATCTTAATTCTTAAAATAGCACTAAATGCAATTTTATTCTTCTAACTCTTAAGAAGGACTGCATAAAGTACTTACATGCATGTGTTATTAATAGCATCATCTGGGCAGTGTCCTGAACAATAGCACTTTAAAAAAGGTAAGGTATCCTCTGGTGCTAAGGTTACTCCATTTTCTGACTTTTTCTGGTCAGAGTCTGATTTCATCCCCGTGCCATGGAGCATGCTGTCTAGATTCTGTCCTGTATTCAAATACAGAATTGTAAATAAATCATTTCTGAAAAGCTAATTGTTTGATTATAATTTTCAGTGAGAAAGTTGCTAGGCTTTCTTGCCACAATAATTGCTGCTAATGTTTTTCTCGAGAAAGTAGATTTTATTTATACAATTAACACATTTACTAATAAACTATTATGCACAGAACTACTGTTCAGGTAACCGCAGGGTATACAAAGACAGCTATGTCACAGTTTTGGTCCTAGTGAATGACAAACAAGAATGGCACAAGGTAGAATATGGTCATAACTTGTAAGAAAAGTACAAAATGGAGAGTCTCTTCAGGGAAGGCTGAGACTGTTTCCAATCATTAAAATATAGACAATTATGATTTTCCTTTTAAACCTGGTTCAAAACTTATGACTAGCTGGAAAAAAAAAAGGTCCTTTACCTGTGCCTCTGTGGAAAAAAGGGGTTACTAAGCATTTTTGCTTTGGCCTTTTATTGCTTAAGTAAGGGAATTGTGAGAGCATGGGACAAGCCTATCTGAAGGCTTGTACTTCAAGGACATTAGTGTGAATCCGGAGCATGCTGCCAGAAAGGGAAGGCTGCTGCCTGGCAGTAGGGAGCTGAGGGAAACAGAACTGGGTTCTTGCACTAGAGTCTAGCAGCCTCCAATGACAGATACTTTGCATTCAGTTCTATCTGATACTGAATCTTTTAGGTTGGAAGCAGAACTAAAACAACTATTTTAGTAATTCCTCCCTCTCAATCAGCTGAGATCAGCTAGGCCATTACTTGGGGGGTTACTCTCCAGAGAATGAAAGCTGGAGCCAAATAAATTAAGTGTGTATGTGTTTCATTATAAATATTAAATAAGTAGTTCAAGACATACTGTGAATTTGACTTTAAATTAAGCCATACTGATGAGATGAACTATTAAAAAGAGAGAAAAAAAAAACCCCACATATGTATACATCAATGACAGAAAAAGAAAATGTTGCTAAATAAAGTGTTTTAGTGATCCATGCATTCAATTTTAATAATCTTCATTATTATTTTAGAGACAGGGTCTTGCTATGTTGCCCAGGCTGGCCTCAAACTTCTGGGCTCAAGCAATCCTGCTGCCTCAGCCTAATTTTTGCTTTCTTATGCTGAATACTTAGTATAGGAATTCATTACTGAACGAGTATTAACAGAAATAAACACCAGGAGAACTTAAAAAAAAAAAAAAGAGCTAGAGGGTTCATACGTATACATGTATCACCCATCTCCCTCACCACTACTCCCCTTTCAGAAATAAATACTGCAGACTTCTCCATTATCAGCTCATAGCACTGTCCCTCCACTGTGCTCAGCACAGGGCCTTCTGTCAATTCCCAGAACATGTCAATCTTCTCCCACCCACAAGTCCTATGTATTTACAAATCATAAAATTATGCCCTATGGTGGGCTGGGGGTATAGGTTATATTTCAACACACACACACAAAATATTTAATAGCTTACGCGTACAAGTTATACACGTACTTAGTAAAACATGGAAATATATACATACAGAGACTAATAGCTGAAAGATAAACATGACTATATATAGGCCAATTTACAGAATGCTCCACCATCAATGGTAATTTTTGACATCAATGATTTTACTAGATTTTTATTCCTGGCTAAATAATTTTTCTTACTCTCCCAGTAATTTATTTGCCTCCTTTATATAAAGCAGAGGAACTGCCTTCTGCCCTAATCTTAAGATAGAATGTCTATAATAGGATTCAGATGGCAAAAGACTGGAAAGCTGGAGAGACGAATGGGCTATGAATACATTACACATATAGAGTAATCAGCATCAGTAGTATTCCTAATGAATTTTATAACTATAGTCTGCATAATTAATTAAATAGGGACCAGGAAGACATCACTAGAAGGAAAGTCAAGGACAAGAATTGGCTAAAGTGGTGTGTCTATTAATAGAACTGTGCTGTCCAATATGGTAGCCACTAGCCACATGTGGCTATTTAAATTTAGATGAATTAAAATGAAATAAAATTAAAAATCAGTTTCTCACACTAGCCACAATTCAAGTGCTCAAAACCACCCATAGCCAGGAGCTCTCATAATGGACAGCACCTATACAGAACAGGTATTGGCTTAGTGGACCACCCAGTCTCACTATTCAACTCTGCTGTTATAATGCAAAATCGGTCAGACGATGTATAAACAAATGAGTGTGGCTGAGTTCTAACAAAAATATTTATGGACAATGAAATCTGAGTTTCACATAATTTTCATGTGCAATGAAATATTATCCTCTTGATTTTTCTTCAGTCATTTAAAATTATAAAAATCATTCTTTACTCATGGGTGATACAAAAGCAAGCAATGGGCTAGATTTAGCCTGTGGGCTACACTTTGCAAATTACTGATAAAGAACATTTCCAACATCAAAGAAAGTTCTCATGCTATGCTGGTCTAGAGAGAAAAATTAAAGGGGAAAAAAAGATGACTTGGTGGCAGGGTCAGAATGCACAGCAATGGGCTTTCAATATCTGATGTGCTATTATGTGAATAATTAAGCTTATTTTAATGACATTCTTGGAAGGCAGAATAAGAACCAATAAAGGGAAGTTATAGTGAGACATATTTCAGTTGAATAGAAAACACATTTTGTAAGTTGGCACTAATCAGAATTAGTTCTGAACCCATTATCAAGAATGAGGTGATGCCTATACGTACTGACATGCAGTGTTACTCATAATGCCACTGAATGACAAGGAAAGCTGCTGGAAGCATGACTAGCATTACCCCATTAAATCTCATATGTTTGGTCAGGCGCAGTGGCTTACACCTATAATCCTAGCATGCTGGAAGGCCGAGAGGGGAGGACTGCCTGAGGCTAGGAGTTTGAGACCAGCATGAGCAACAGCAAGGCCTAAAAAAATTAGCCAGGTGTGGTGGTGCACACTTGTAATTCCAGCTACTCAGCTGACTGAGGCAGGAGGATTGCTTGAGCCCAGGAGTTTGAGGTTGCTGTGAGCTAGGCTGACGCCACAGCACTCTAGCCAGAGCAACAAAGCAAGACTCTGTCTCAAAAAAACCAAAACAAATGCTTAAAAAAAAAGTTTACATTATTGAATTCTTGTTTTATTGCATTTTGATCAGAGAATGTGGTCTATGAGACACCTTATTCATTTTTTTTTTTTTTTGAGAGAGTCTCACTCTCAGAGAGGGGAGGATTTAGATGGGACTAAAAGGAATTTTTGCTTTGCTTGTGTGGTTTAATTTTTTTTTTTTTTTTTTTTGAGACAGAGTCTCGCTTTGTTGCCCAGGCTAGAGTGAGTGCCATGGCGTCAGCCTAGCTCACAGCAACCTCAAACTCCTGGCTCAAGCAATCCTGCTGCCTCAGCCTCCCAAGTAGCTGGGACTCACGGCCCATCGTACGCACCATGCCCGGCTAATATATATATATACATACACACATACACATACATACATACAAATATATATATATTGTCCAGCTAATTTCTTTCTAATTTTTAGTAGAGACGGGGTCTTGCTCTTGCTCAGGCTGTTCTCGAACTCCTGAGCTCAAACGATCCACCTGCCTCGGCCTCCCAGAGTGCTAGGATTACAGGCGTGAGCCACCACGCCTGGCCAAGATATCTTATTCTTAATGGAAGTATTATTTCAAAATTACCCAAGATAATTCAAGGGTGATGTGGGTGTGGGAGAAGTGCATGGGGGTACAGATGAAACAGGTTTGGTCAGGAGTTGGTAATGTCAAAGCTGAGTAACAAGTTCATGGAGTTTCATTGTATTATTCTACCTAGGTATATGTGTGAAATAAGTATTTTTTCTATAAGTGGTTTTTAAAATACCCAAATAAAACAAAAATACACACTCCCAGTAAAAAAAAATTAAAGCCGGCGAGGTGGCTCCCCCAAAAACGGGCCCCTTTGGGTTAAAAATAACTAGCATCTCTGGGAGGCCGAGGCAGGTGGATCGTTTGAGCTCAGGAGTTCGAGAACAGCCTGAGCAAGAGCAAGACCCCGTCTCTACTAAAAATTAGAAAGAAATTAGCTGGACAATATATATATATTGTATGTATGTATGTGTATGTGTGTATATATATATATATTTTAGCCGGGCATGGTGCTACATGCCTGTAGTCCCAGCTATTCGGGAGGCTGATGCAGTAGGATTGCTTGAGCCCAGGAGTTTGAGGTTGCTGTGAGCTAGGCTGACACCATGGCACTCTAGCCTAGACAATCTCTCCTTAATTGTAACACTGTTACCTGTTTGGTATGTATGCATCTAGTCCTTTTTCTATATATTTGCATATATACATATGAAGTACTCTTTCAGAAAACTTTACAAAAGTGAAGAAAATTGTAATTCACACATATTCATATAACCAAGATTTTATAATGACCAATTATGCCTCATCTTGTTTTACTCTTCCCCTTTCATATAATTATGAATCTAATACCAGATATGTCATTTTATCTGTAACTATTTCAACATGCATCTCTAAAAGATAAGGGACTTCAAAGACTTAAAAAAAAAATCACAATCATCACACCTAAAAAAGTTAATAGTTGTTCTTTACCCTTACTAGTATTATCAAACATCCAGGCAATATTCAAATTTTCAATTATACTATAAATGTTATAATTTCCAAGTCTCTTAATCTATATGTTTCTTCTTCCTTTTTCTTTCCTTGAAATTTACTTGTCGAAGATACTGGGTAATCTGTCTTATAATATTTACCACAGTCTAGACTTTCTGATTGCATCCTTCTAGCATCACTTAACACATTCTCTTGTTCCCGATAGTTTGTAAATGGTACTCTGCTCTAAAGCTGTCCAACATGGTAGCCACAAGCCACATGGGGCTATGAGTACTTGAAATGTGGCTACTCTGTAAGTTATAGTGAGGAGGGACACAAATATCTAGTTATCTCCATTTTCAAAGACTAGACTCACTAATCCAACAGGATAATAATGTAATGTAATATAATATAATATAATGTACTCTAATTCACCATTTCTTCTTATTCATGATCTGGAAAACCTCTATAATGAGATGCTTTCCTTCATCTACTAACTGGATACAAGTGGCACAGTTCACATAAAAAAGGGAATTAATGCTTGATTTTTCCCACTACTTATCAGTTTTCAAAGTTAATGAGTTTGCTAGCATCTTTCAACAGTAGCCAATTAGTGTCTTTTTAAAGTGTCATTAAAAACCCATGGATTTAAACATATTTGATTTTTTTCAATCTACTGCAGTTATTATCTTTACTAATGCTTAAATTGTTCCATCTCTGGCCAATTCAAATGGTTCCCTGTATCCTTTTAACTTTCCCCTGCTTTCTGGCCAAGATATTCCAAGATTACCTTGCACTCTACCTATCACACACATAAAAGTGATTGCAAGGGGTTCTGGAATCTTTTAGTGGAAAAGATAATCAGAGACCATAACCTGGGTGCTACAGGTGCTTGTTGCTACCATGTTGATCAGTGTAAAAATATAAGGCTAAAAAAATAGTTTTGCATCTTGCTTTTTTCACTTTATCTGTATTCATCTGTTAAATAAAAATGTATCACATAAATACACAGTGCTAGGCACTGTTTTAAGCCCTAGGTGACTAGAACAGCAAACAATATAAAGTCCCTTATCTATCAGAGCTTATGGTCTCAGAAAGAAACAATAAAGACCAATAAATACTAACATTTGTACCATTTTAATATTTATTCATAGATAGCTGCTATGAAGCCAAATAAAGCAGGGTCATTTTCTAGCATGGGAAAGGAGTAGAGTGCCTCACAGCAGAGGTCACTGACCGGAGGGCCAGGAGAACAGACCAAGCAGAGGTCAGGAAATTCCAGAATACCACATCTAGACAAGATATAACTTTAATGGACCTGAAGCAAAGACCAGAAGCAAGTAGATGTTAACACTACTAAAATTTTAAGGGAACTGTACTGTCAAAGAAGTCCAACAGTCAGGCTGACTCAATGAACCTGTAAATTTTCATTCCATTAGGTCATTTCTAGTACCTAGACCTCTATACTAACAGAAAGGCCATCCTCTGCTAAATCCATCTTAGAAGTGGCCACGATGGCAGAAACACTAGCCAAGGAACACCAGAGACAAAGGAAATGCTCCCAGAAAATAAAATTGGGGGCTGTCAACAGACTAACCAACCTTAATTGATAGGCTACGAAGCAATGAATACTGAGGTTGCTCCCAAATTTTCCTTACTCTGAATGGGAGTTTACATAGTACTTATCCTATTTCATCTTCTTCATCGAATCTGGGTACATTGTGCATTTATAATTTCTCTTTTAGCCATACGTTGCTGGACCATGAAGAGCTACATCTGGACCTGAAGGAGAAGGCTGCACACTAGCCAGAAGTCCTGGATTTGTAGCTGAGTACACCCAATGAATAAAACTCTGGGTTATATAACCCTTTGAAGACGAATTCAATATTTCATACCAACATGAGCATTTTTACTGTATGCATGTGAGTAAAAGTATGTATGATATTGGAAGACAAATGTGGTGCCCTACAGCAGATAATGTTATTTTTCTCCCCTTTACCTTGCTGGCAACAGACATGCACACATGTATACACACATACACACGCACCCTTTTTTGGTTTACATGTCTGTCTCTCCTCTATGTGATTCAGGAAAGCACAACCCTATCCTTAGCAGAGATAACTGATGGTCTAATCCAATGAGTTTAGGCCCACTCTCCTTGCCCCTGATTTGTTGAACACAAGAGCATGTAATAAACTTTGGCCACTATGATTAGAAGGAAGTCTGCTGGAAAAATGAGGAGAGGGCTTGGGGAAAGATTTACCAATGAAAAAGAGTCAGAAAGAGATATTAATCCCTCTTCATTCATTGGATGCTGCCAATTTGAAGCAACTATTAATACATCTGTGTTATGTCTGGCCCCTCAGCAGCCACACTGTGGCTGTGAAGGGAATTAACCTATAGCTAAACTGATATTTGGAGGATGACACAGTTGAAATAGAGAAAGAATCTGGGTCTTTTTTTTTTTTTGAGACAGAGTCTTGGTCTGTCACTCCAGGTAGAGTCATCACAGCTCACAGCAAACTCAAACTCCTGGGCTCAAGTGATCCTCCTGCCTCAACCTCCTGAGTAGCTGAGACTGCAGGTGCCTGTCACCACACCTGGCTAATTTTTCTACTTTTTGTTGAGACAGGGTCTTGCTCTTGCTCAGGCTGGTCTTGAACTCCTGAGCTCAAGTGATCCTTGTGCCTCAGCTTCCCAGAGTGCTAGGATTACAGGCATGAGCCACGTGCCCAGCTTAGAATCTGGGACTTGATGAGCCACATAATTAACAACCTATGCAGTCCCCTTACCCAGAGACGACTTTTTTTTTTTTTTTTTGAGACAGAGTCTCACTTTGTTGCCCAGGCTAGAGTGAGTGCTGTGGTGTCAGCCTAGCTCACAGCAACCTCAAACTCCTAGGCTCAAGCAATCCTCCTGTCTCAGCCCCCGGAGTAGCTGGGACTATAGGCATGCGCCACCATGCCCAGCTTACTTTTTCTATATGTATTAGTTGGCCAATTAATTTCTTTCTATTTATAGTAGAGACGGGTGCTTGCTCTTGCTCAGGCTGGTTTTGAACTCACGACCTTGAGCAATCTGCCCGCCTTGGCCTCCCAGAGTGCTAGGATTATAGGCGTGAGCCACCGGGCACAATCGCCTCAGACTTCTTGTGTGATATTTATTACAAGTCTGATCTTTTCCCCATTTTTCCTGCCTCAAATGTAGATAATAGCAGCATTTTATACCCAGGAGGGAAATGCCAAGAAAACTACAGAGATGTTAACCTTGACACTACTCAGTAGCTGAATAAACACCAGCAAACATCCACTGCCGCCTACATTAAAAGTAGATCTCTTATTCATTTAAGTCACTTTTAGCTGAGTAATCAGTTACTTGAAGCTAAAATCCAATTCTAAAATTTGTGACCAAGAAAAAAGGATTAAGTATCTATCAGATGTTAATACCAAATGATTCATTTTTCTATTCAAACCTGAGTAATTCACTTCAAAATAAATCACTTAAATCTACACCTAACAGTTGATGCTCAAAAATTTCCTTTTGGCTGAGGTGGGAAGATAACTTGAGGCCAGGATTGAGACTAGCCTGGAAACATCCGTCTCTATAGAAAGGGGGAAAAAACTAGCCGGATGTACTGGCATGTACCTGTAGTTCCAGCTATTCAGGAAGATGATATGGGAGGATCACTTGTACCTAGGAGTTCAAGGTTACAGTGAGTTAAGATCATGCCACTGCACTCCAGTCTAGGCAACATAGTGAGACCCTGTCCAGAGTGCTAGGCCTCCCAGAGTGCTAGGATTACAGGCGTGAGCCACCGCGCCTGGCAGAGAATTTTCTATTATATTACCAATATGTGATCTAAGCATATTTAAAAATTTTTATACCAAAATGGAAATTACCCGGGAGTGAAGTAGCAAATATAAACGTTACTATTAAACACTTCATCTTCGGCAGGGCGCGGTGGCTCACGCCTATAATCCTAGCACTCTGGGAGGCCGAGGCAGGCGTATTGCTCAAGATCAGGAGTTCAAAACCAGCCTGAGCAAGAGCAAGACCCCGTCTCTACTATAAATAGAAAGAAATTAAGTGGCCAACGAGTATATACATATATAGATAAAATTAGCCGGGCATGGTGGCGCATGCCTGTAGTCCCAGCTACTCGGGAGGCTGAGGCAGCAGGATTGCTTGCGCCCAGGAGTTTGAGGTTATTGTGAGCTAGGCTGACACCATAGCACTCACTCTAGCCTGGGCAACAAAGCAAGACTCTTGTCTCAAAATAAATAAATAAATACTTCATCTTCAAAACTATGACAGCTTTGTTCAATGCTGGGTGATCAATAGGCATATAACATATTAAAATAAAGGTATTATATTAAATAATTTGGTGTTTCACAAATAAAAGTGGTTTTTGAAAGAGGGCTCTATTCTGAACATGGTAATAATGAGGATACTATTATAATACTAAGGCAACACACAAAGAAGCCATAGAGTCCATTATATGTTCATACTTTAAAATGAAAATATCAAAGCTTTATGGTGTTAATCATGTTTCTTCTTGTGGGCAGATATTAATCCATACCACTATGAATGAAACATGATGAAATAACAACCTATCAAGTCAAAAATTTGAGAATGAAGATGTCCAATAAATCCTATCTAAAATGCTTTTGCAAAACAGTATTATCTCTTCAGTTTAAAATATTATCCTAATTAAACCATACAGGAAAAAGCTCATGTGCAAACACAGTCCATCTGGTCCTAAGAGTCATTGTAATAACTTCCTGTTGGACAGTTCCAAGCTGTGAACACATACTAGCAAAATTACAATACTGGTCATAAATAAACTTGCAGTACTCTATTAAGAAAGTTTAGCATAAACAAGTGCCATTTATCTTTCTAAAGTCTTTCTAAAATGATTTTTAAATTATTATTTACATGTATTCCTTCTTGTTTGAAAGGAGATAGGAATTTTGAAGCTCAGCTTCAAGTGCTACCCCGTCTTTTAGGCACTAGGTTAAGTGCTTTATATACTTTATCTCATCTAGTCCTCACAAGACCTGATGCTGTGTATCATAATGCCTATATTATGGAGGAAAAATATGCTCGGAGAGGCTGAGATTTTAAAAATACTTGAAAATGTTTCTATCACAGCAAGTTCAAAAATTATTTGGCATGTATTTGTTCTCTGCCTCTTTACTTCAAAGCTGTGTTGGTATGCTGGGCCTAACTGCTCAACAAGGGATATGAGTTGAAAGAACAGTTGTAAAAAACAGTGCTTTTTATATATAGAAATAAATTACTAAAATGAATATCAATTTACCTTGAACATGAGAAATGATGAACAGATAGGCTCCCAATAATCTGATATAAATATATAGCTGAGTCATTGTTCAATTATAATGTTTCCTGTACACTGTCACCTTCAATAACTGGTCCTGCTATTTCACTAATTTAAATGACTATTATTCAATGAGATTTTTCTTGTAAAAGGCCGCAACCACTTGACAATGATTCCAACTCCCACTGCTTTCTCTTTATTCCTGAAAGACAAAAATATTAAGAAGGTAATGAATATAACTGAATTTTGGAAAGTTTTCAAAAACTGAGAGGAAAATAAATGTCTAAGTATACCTTTAAACAATGAAATATATTCTTAAAGATTAAAGCTATTCTTGTTTCCATTTTCCTTTTTTAAAAAAGGCACTATAGTTCCAAAGCTTAAATAACTTAATAATAATTTGCAACCTCCCCTGACCTCAGATTAGTCATATGTAACATAAGAAAAGTACACTAAATAATCTCAGTAGTCTTTTCTGGCTGCTCTACAGTAATTAAGTTATTTTATTACTATCAAGAAAGGTTAAATTTTAAATATAATTTTAAATATTTTTAATTCTTTATCAATATTCTTTCAAATCCTAGATGAAATAAAAATACCTTAAATCTTTCTAATAATTTATTCTGACAGAAAAGAATGCCTACCTATAAAATTATACATATTTAAATAAGCAGTGTGCTTTATCATTAAAGCAAAAGCAAATAGAAATATGTTTTTATTTTTACTTTTTAAAAAAACTTCAAAGTATTAAGGGGGTACAAATATTTTTGGTCACATGAATCGCTTTCATAATGCTTGAGTTATGGCTGTTAAGTGTGCCCATCACCCAAATAGTGTTCATTGTACCCATCAGGTAGGTTTTTGCCCCTCCCCACTGCCTGACTTCCACTAAGTTTTATATTTCTCTGTGCACACATGTGCTCATCTGTTAGTTCCAATTTAATAGCAAGTACACATGGTGTTTGTTTTTCCCATTGTGATATTTCACTTAGGATAATGGTCTCTAAAATGTATCTTAAATAAAATTATTTTCCTAATAATTTTCCTAAAATAATTTTATTTAATCTGACTTAATTAGGGTAAAATTGGCCTTTTAATATGGATAACATGAAACATGACCTTTTCAATTAAGGTCTGGCGATTATTAATATAGGCAGTGAACTTTAAAGGCCTCAAAGTAAAATAGTTAAATAGATAATAGGGAAAAAAAGCCTACTTTGTATCAAGATAAATATAATTCTATTTCTCCCCCATCCTATTGTTTCAGGCAGTTTGATTTTATTGACTTCGGCCTGAACTATTCCTGAATGCAAAAGGTTTTGCTTATTTATGAAATAATCACCTCTGGTGTGATTTCTAGCATTAGTAACCTGGGGAAAAAAAACACAAAAAAACCTGAGCTGTTTTATCTACCTAAAAATTTTGCAATTTGGCCAGGCACAGTGGCTCATGCCTATAATCCTAGCATTTTGGGAGGCCGACATGAGAGGATCACTTGAGGCCAGGAATTTGAGACCAGCCTGACTGAGCAAGACCAAGATCCCGTGTCTACTAAAAATAGAAAAATTAGGCATGGTGGCGTGCACCTGTAGTCCCCAATGCTCAGGAGGCTGAGGCAGGAGGATTGTTTGAGCTCAGGAGTTTGAGGTTGCAGTGAGCTATAATGATGCCATTGCACTCTAGCCAGGGCAATAGAGTAAGAGACCCTGTCTCAAAAAAATAACAACAAAAAAAATGCACTTTAATTAGCTCTCCAAAGGTATGTATTGAGGCAAATAAGGTTTACAATGAGGTATCATGTATATAAGACTTAGTTCTAAAATCTATGCAATTGCTTATTTCCCTACTATAAAATTAAAGTGTTTACTACCACATATGCTGAGAATAAGCTATAAAGCCTCAAATAATAATATTTGTAATGTGATTTAACAGCATATCTTCAGAAAATTTCTTAAAATTATTCAATTATGATTCTAGGGATCCAAGTTTCAAATTCAAGATATGTTTCCAGAATATTTCCAACCCTCATTTCTCTCCTCCTTTCTGTCTGCCCATTAAATATCTCTACTAGGATTACACTTAAGCTGTGTGAATCCCACTCGGGTCTTTCCTTCTCGCTGCTGTGGCCCTGCTCCTATCCATTAGCTATCACAGGGAAAGGCAGCACCATCTCCGCAGTTACACCAGAAATCCTAGCTTCGTTTTTGCCTCCTTGCTAGCTCTCAGCCCCTCTCCAAACTTTCACTTACTCATTCACTTATTTATTCATCAGCGCCTGCTGAGTGCAAATTACAGACCAGCCTTAGGTACTAGAAATACAAACATGGGTATCCCTGTTTCTGCTTCTGCGAGCTTACAGTCTTGGGCAAGAGACTACTATAACTTGTTACATATTTCAGTGTCACCAGTGTTACTCTTTCAGCTAATTTATTTAAAGCACTACCATCAAGGCACTCTGCAGAGCTTCCCATGAGACTTTAGGTACTTTTCCTTTTGGAGAAAGGGGACTGCATGATTCCTTCTACAAAAATGTCCAGGACCCTGCTACCCCTGGGCATAAGTTCAAATCCTGGATCTGCCTTAAATAAGTAAACTAACCTCTCTGGATACATTTCCTCATCTTTAAAACTAGGTGAAGACCCGGTGCGGTGGCTCACGCCTGTAATCCTAGCACTCTGGGTGGCCGAGGCTGGTGGACTGTTAAGAGGCAAGGACCCTCAAAGACCCTCAACACCCCTATGACTTGTCCTACGCACGGGCCTAGCCCTAGAAAAATTCCTAGGACAGAAACAGCACCCCACCCTCCAGGTATAGCTCCGAGAAGAATGCATTCCATGACGTGCTGACCATGGAATTCTCCAGGGTGTGCTAACTGCAATTGTTCCCGACCACCTGCCAGGTTGAGGTTGGATAATCAGTCACAACAAACCTCGATACCGATAAGATACTGATTGGGGCTGATTAGCCCAAACCCAAGACTCACCGTCACCCCACTGCATTTTTTGTTTTTACTTCCTTGTTTCTGTATGCTTATAAAACCTAGTAAGAATCTAAGTAAAGTAGACCTTGACAACCATTTTCTTGGTCTCGTTCCTTTCTCTCGCTCATCTCTTTCAGGCAAGGTCCCCCTTGACCCCCTCGAGTAACAGAAGGTCCCACGGGCCGGGACAAGTGGCGCCCAACGTGGGGCCCGAGGTACGGACCTTTGTCGGGTGACGCCGAGGTGCGCTCTTCGGCCAAAGGAAGCCCTACAGAGACCCTTGTTCTGCCGCTCACAGAGTCGACGGTCTGGTGAGTAAAGTTTTACATTGTCATCCCATCGAGATGGGCCATTCATTGTCTAAATAGGCCGTTTTTATCAAGGATCTCAAGGCCTCACTCAGAGAGAGAGGAATTAGAGTTAAGAAAAAGGATCTACCGGGATGGTGGCTCAGCTTTGTAATCTAGCAATTTGGACGGGGAGGCCGAGGCGGGCGGATGCTCAAGTCAGAGTTCGACACAGCGCCTGAGCGAGAGCCCGTCGTCTACCAAAAATAGAAATTAATGCCAACTAAAAAAGTATTAAACAAAAAAATTAGCCGGGCATGGTGGCACCATGCCTGTAGTCCAGCTACTCGGGAGGCCCTGAGGCAGGAGGATCGCTTAAGCCCAGGAGATTGAGGTTGCTGTGAAGCAAGGGCTGACGCCATGGCACCTCACTTAGCCTGGGGCAACAAAGTGAGACTCTGTCCAAAAAAAAAAAAAAAAAAAAAAGAAAAGATCTAGTAAGTTTTCAGTTCATTGATCGTGCTTAGTCCTGGCGCTTTGATTGTTGGTGGACCTGAGATTCACCCACGCAATGGCAGGAAGGTAGAAGGCAGAGATTTAAAACATTTACTCTCTGAATCAGGGCAGATGCCGTCACTGATCCGTTTCTCCTAACTGGGACTAATCAGCGATATGTTTGGAGGGAGCAGATTAGACCCCAATAAAAGCAGCTGCTCAGTTAGAATTCTGTCGGACCATATCGCGGTCCGCTTCTGGGAACGTCTTTAGAGGCGGGCCGAAGGTGGAACTTCCCCTAATTAATCCTTGGAGGACCAAATGCCCTTCCCTTGCCCTCGGTTGTTTTAAATGCCCCCCGACCTCAGCTGAGTCCAGACACTGGGGACGAGGCCCCGATTAGTAGGCAGAACCAAACTCATCATCCCTTTACCTCGAGGTACCCCTCATGCATTTAATATACTAGTATTCAATAAAAACCCCTCCAAGAGTCGCCTCGACCGCCTGCAGAAGAGGCCCCTGAGGAGAAGCCGCTCGGATATACGTCCAATGGCCGCCTTTACCGCGGCACGCATAGACCTCTCCTCCCTACGCGCCCAGATTTCGCACCTTATAATGGCCTCCCTTAAATGCCTTACTTTTGCGCCAAAAGACTTAAGTCAAGGGTTACGCCAATTAAAGGATGTCTTAAACTTCAAAAAGAGTTTGCCGTTTCAAAGACTTGTCCTCCCTCAAGATACGCTTAAGATTTGCGTTTCATTAGCCACCTGAGTCTTTTAGATCCGCCAGTCACATGCACCTAAATTAAAAACTAAAGTTCCCATACAAGCCTAGCATTCCCGGTATTAAACAGTCTAATAGGCAAGAAGACCTTGCCACACTTCTTTCTAGCCAGTACCGCCCCAAGATTCAGATAATGAAAATTACAGAAGAGAAAGAAGGGAAAGTGAAAGTGATGACCCCGGGAGGAGAACAGTCTCGGGGGCCACGCAGAGCCCTGAATTTCTGCAGACTAAGTTGTATAACTTAAAAGACTGATTTGACTGTTAGGACGTATGGTTCCCAATGCACCTTCTACCTCCTAGGAGGCAGCTCAGGGGGCGGTACCTGGTCCGGCGAGAGATGGGGTCAACGCTAGTAATGCGTTCCGTTCTCGCAAGAGGCAGTATCCTTCTTAGGGGAAGGCGACTTGGTCGACGGGTCAGAGCAAGATGTCAATAATTAAAAAACCCCAATCTGCATTGGACCCTTGAAAGCTTAGGGAAGGAAGTTTGCCACACTGAACAGTGCAAGGATACCCAATTGCGACTCTGTCCCAGACCGCCGCAAGCCGCTTCGGTTGCTTGGCGTCCACTCCCTCTATGGGATCTGTTCGTACTCCCCTGGACAAAAATCACTCCAGGGACTCAGAGGTTTCAGTGATTTGTGGGGCAGGCGTCT